TAATTGGTGCTTTATCTGTTAGGGCAGTTGTGCAGATTAAATGAATTCATGCAGGCAAGACTCCTGATTCAGGGCCAGGCATACAGTGAGAGCTAGAGAAATGGTGGCAGGGAAGATTGTCATAGGCTGGAATGGTACCTGCTTTCTCCTCTGCAAAATGAATCTGTAAAGCCGGAAGATCCCTCCAGGCCAAAGGAGCCTTGAAATTTAGAGCGTGAGGCCTCTGACTGGGGTGGAGAGTGGGAGGTGGTGAGGTTCGCCTGGCAGGCCCAGGTTGATGAGGCTGATGAACCGAGACAGATACGCCCAGAAACTGAAGGCTAGGGAAACCCCCAGCCGGGCGCCTTCAGAGTGCGGGCAGCAGGCTACGGAGGAGCTTGGAGGGCGAAACGCAGTCGGAAAAGGCGCGCGGAGTCGAAAAGACGATTGTGGAGGGACTCCATCTTCTTGATTATTCGCTACGAAACCCAGAGCTCTCGTACCTCCTTCCCAAGCCTCAGGGCCCACGGAGCTGCAGGTCCCGGATAAAAACAAGAAACGCTACAGGCTCTTACCAGGGACCAGGCCCAGTGTTTGGCAGTCCTTAATTCCTCACAAGGACTCGAAGGCGGTGTACATTTTTTCTATTTCAAATATGCAGAAACTGAGATTCTTCTACCAATCTGCCTAGCCTCCTTTCAGCTCTTGCAACTAACCAAGAGAAACTCTTCTGGCTTTTGCGTGTGCTCTTCGGTGACCCGACAAGTTCCCCATTCCCCTGTCCCAGACCAACACACCGCTCACTTCAGGCTTCGGTTTTATCCACTCCCAGAACCCAGTGGTTTTTTTTTTTTTTTTTTCCTTTCCTTTTTTTTTTTTTTTTTTTTGCTGCATGTCTTTTTGTAATTCACCAGCTTTGAGGTGATTTGTTGATTCGTTTACCGTACTGGAAACCCCCAGGGGACGGATCTTGTGCAACGGAATTCCCTGGCACCGAGCCTGGCATTTAGTAGGCTCTGGATATACACTTTCCAACGATCAATTGCTAAATGAGGCTCTGTAAGGTTACTTATTCTCTTGAGGTTCCAGGATAAGTTGAGGCGGGATTCACCCGTTATTTCTCAACTCTCACTTGTGTCAGAACCACGTAGGGAGTTGGAGGTTTTGATTTTTATTCTGATGTTCTGGCCCCACGTCATCAAACCAAAATCTCTAGGGCAGCCATACTTTTTATAACACTCTCCAGGCGACTTTTATAGATGTCCAAGCTTAAACACCAGAAAGACCAGATTGCTAAAAATAATAAAGATGCACTCTCTTCTTGGGAACATTAAAAAAAAAAAAAAAAAACTGTCTTGAATCTCAATACTAAGTAGCTATTTCCGCCTAGGGCTTTCAATAAACTTAAGCCAAGGAAAGGAAGGAAATTGTTATGCGTCTGGGTACATAATTTAGCCCTCCTCTTCCACTCCCAGATCCCTCCTCTCAACCAAAAACTAGCAACTCCGAAAAGAAAAAAAGTAGTTAAAAAAAAAAAAAAAAAAAGGGCAAGCACCAAGGGAACTGGAGGGGGAGGATGAGAGGTGGAGCATTTGCTTCAATTATCTGGATAATCGTTCCCCACCTCAGGCCATTGTTACTGAAATCAAACAATATTCTATTGGATACAGTCTTGGCCTTTTCAGGCGTGCTCCCCGCGGCGCCTAGCACACGCTGGACACTAAGTAGGCGCTCAATAAATTTTATTCTGATGACAGAGGAGAGCTTTAAGGGTGAGGAAGGGATGTCTTGTTAGGTTTAAGGATCAGAGGATGGGCGAATATTAAAGTGAAGTGGTGAGCCGAAGGGCTTTGTGGCGAGAATTTGGTGCCATCAAAACCCTGTTCCGAGGGCCCGAAGCCTGGGCCGTTCTGCAATTCTGAGTCAAACTCCTCACTCCTTTACTAGAAGCCTCCCCACACCCTCCTTTCGAAAGCCGAATTGAACTCTTGCGCCTGTGCTGAACACAAAGACGAATTCAGCTTTCTCAAAAGCCCATCAGCTTTGAATAAAAACTAGGGAAAAGCAAAATTATTTTTTGGTGGTGAGCTCAAGGCCCACTGCTTGCCCTTTCTGCGGAATGGCCTCGCCGGGCCTCGCATTAAAAGTAACAATATTGGGACAGCCGAAGGGACAGCCAGACGCCCGAGCTCCTCATCATTCAGCCAGCGGAGGAATCTGGGGACTGATTCTCAATCACCCCTCTTTCATCCCGACTTACGGCTTTTCAAGAGGGTCTTGGAGTCTCTATGAGTGTGCATTTGCTAACTGCAGGCTCGGCTTTAATGAGATTCTTTTAACTCCCCCATGCCGGTTTGCAGGTTATAGCCTTATCTGGAGACCCTCCGTTTGCACCCTGGCTGCACGTCCTGTGAACAATCACCTCTCCGGCGCCTGAAAGGAGAGCGATCGAGCGCCCCATTTCTGCTGAATGCAAGTCTCAGTTCATCGAAGGCTGGCGGGCTTTTGATGGCTACAATGCAAGTTACGCCCAAAGAGTGTCTCTTTGGTCAGATCGACAACGCTTGGCTTCACGTTTGCAAGTTAAACGGGCAGAAACCCGGCTGAAACTCCCACGCCAGACGCCGGGGACACTTTCCCTCCGCCCTGCTCAGAGCAGAACTGGGGAATGGGTCTGGACAGAAGGAGAAAAGAAGGAGGAGGAGTTGTTTGGAGGGGGCGCTGAAAAAGAGTCCTGATTCTCAGCCGCCCTTTAGAAGAAGGAGCGCACACCATTTTCTGTGGGGTTTTTTTTTTTTTTTTCATTTTGCTTTGTTGGCAACCCAAACAAACAAAATATAAAATGAGAGCGTTTCTCTGTCTCCACCTAGGTAGCTGCTTTCCTCTAGCCCCCGAAAATGTGACTCCTTCATAAAAATCAAAATTTATGATTATTCAAATGTTGGGGACTGTGAAAAGAGAGGAAGAAAGAGAGAAAATTAATATTGCAGCTGTTCTTCTGATTAATGAGAGATAATTGCTCATGAAAAGTCACCCCTGTGGCATTTTGTTGTCTCCTGGATCTTTGTTCTTTTCCACTATTATTGAGGACTTTCTTGAAGACTAAGCGGTTCTTTTCAATTTTTGGGTATTCAGAAAGGGTTGCCTGGTTACAGAGAATGGGGAAATCTCGGGCTATATCGGGTAAGATGTGCCACAGACAGCAATATCACAATGCCACTCGGAGAAAAGGATGGATACAAGTTAACGATGCGCTTTCAATAAAACATTCATAGACTTGTTCACGCTTTGATAATGACCTCATTAAAGGGAGCTGGGGGCAAGTAAGTCCTGTCTCCTGTTTGTGTTCGGCTAACAAAACCCAGCTTTGAGATCATTCATCGCTTTGGAAACTAATATGAAATCAATGTAAGAGGAGCAAATAAATCCGAGGCGGCCCCGCCAACTCCCGGGCTGTCCCGCCCTGCTCTCCGCCTCCGTTTGGGGCAGGAGAACCATGTGGGCAAACGCTGAAACTGAGAGGAAAAAAAGGACTAGGGATGGAGGAGGGTGCGCTTTGCAGGGCGCAGAGGGAGGGGCAAAGTGGGAGTTACAGCCGGAAAACCTCTGAGCGCTTCAACGGGTCGGAACTCTGGGGCCTGTTGAGTAGTAAGCAACACTAAGTCCCTGCCGTTTAATTTCCCTGACTTAAAGGAAAAAGGAAGAGGGAGAAGGAAGAAAGGAATGTGGGGTTCAGGTCAGGTGTGACCCAGGATTAGGGGAAAGTACTGGAAGACTTTTTTGAAAGCTACAACCAAGAATTTAAATCTCAAGTGTGAGCTGGAAGGAAACTGCTCATCCAGGCTCAAGTTGGAGAGCCCTGAGGCGCAAGGTGGCACCTTTGAACCGCTTCTGTATTTTTTCTCAGTTGAGGGTAAGGGTAGGGTGTCCTGACTGGGCAGTGTTCGGGGGATGGAGGGGGACAATTTTGTTACCTTCAAATTTCTGACACTGTCTTGCACTCAGGAAGGACAAAGCCATCCTCTGCCATCCCCAGAAAGAAGAAAAATCAAAGGATTCTCCCCCCTCCCTTAAAAGAACTAATTTTCTCCTTGAATTATGAAAGTAATGGCTTAGGTAACAGCCTGTACTCTGTACCCAACTGCTTAATACCGAATAAATCCTTCCACGTGGCTCCCCGAGTTGTGGCAATTAGAGCTCATTATAGGCTCATAAGAGCTCTCATTTCAGGGATTACTTAATGGACGATGAAATTTTATCGGACAGAATCACTGAGAAATAAAATTGCGCAGCAGTGGGGGCACAATGGGGGCACGTTGATGTCTGCTCGGGGTCCCCTTAGGCTCTGAGCTGGTTCGAGGTACTGCTGTCCTGGGGAAGGGTCCAGCTGAGCAGAGCCAGCTGCAAAGCTGCCCAGGGCCATGGAGGGTAGGCTTCAATGGGGGGAAGGATGTCAAGGCACAGTGGGGCCGCTTCTGAAGATGGGGCTGAAGTTGAAGAAAGGTAGTAAGGAGGGAGAGAGAGAGATCCAAAGTGAACTAAAGAGAAGTCTGAGAAGAGACTCCCATGTGGAACATGACCCCCAAATACTTGCTCTTGGTGGGCTCAAGCAATTAACCAACTACCCTAACAGGTAAGTCTCCAGAGACATGGTCTGCTTTCAGCCTCAGTCTGTCCCCACACTGCTCCTCCTCTTACAGCACTAAGCAACACAAAAGCCTCTCACTTTTCTCAAAATTCCCTAGTACTCAAACTGGATGTTTCAGTAGTCAGGCAGAGACTGACTTAGATGTTCGAGCTTCGTAATTAGGATTCTTTAAAATAAAATGGTCCTCACATAACAGCAACTTCCAGCACATCAGCAAAGGACTTTCTCATGAGCACACCCAGAACCACAGGGAACATTGTGACCCACACTGTCAGCCCAAAACAAATCTTGGATAACTTCTACCTAATCCAGAGGGAGGGAAAAGAGGAGGCAAACATAAAGTGAATAAATAAATCCATAGAAAATATATTTAATTTATATTTACAATATTTTATAATATATTATTTAAAGTAAGCATATAATACTTGCAAAGTGAATGGGGATATCGTGTCATCTATTTGGAAATTTTAGGCCTGTAAAAAACACACTGTCATTAAGGCTCTCGTAGTAGTGGTGCTCCCCGTCTTCTTCCTGGGGCTGGAGTGATTTTGAGGATTGCTTGGATTTTCCTGACGCGGGTGAGGGCTGGCTGGACCAGGCAAGCTGGGTTGAGGCTCAGTTTCTGTGATGGCTGCACCAGCAAACCTTGTGGTACAAAAGTAGTTACAGCTGAGCTGCCCTGAGTTAAGCCCTGAGACTCCTTAATTGTTGTCACAAGATGTTGGATTAGCACATTTCTGGAATAGCTGTCTGTTTACACTCTGGAGACCCACCGTCCACTAACCGCTTTCTAATTGAATTCTAATCACATTCAAATAGCTCAATAACCAGCCTCAGCTGCAATTCATAAAACTTTAATTGCCATCCATAAATCCTGGGCTCCCCAGAGCGGGGCATCCCTACAACCCAATTACACTTCTCTAGCTTGCAAGAGAGACTGTCACAGAGATGGAAAGGGAAAAGGAGAGGCAGAAAGACAGAGGACAGAGAGACAACCATGCCTCCAGCTGAGAAGCTGATGCTCCCCTAGGATTGGGGCACTTGGTTCTCACAGGTGGAGGAAGTCCTGTCCCCAAATTTCTTAGCACCTCTTTGAACTCAGGCTTGAAATTAGCTGTTTGGTGGGAAAAATCAAATTTGTAGCTCACCCTCCCTACTCCAGCCAGATTTTCTACAAGGGTAGAGAAGAGAAAGCTGTCATCCCTGCCACCTTGTCTTCCCCAAAGATCATTAGCCCCTATGGTGGCAGCTCCCCTCTCTCACATAACCACTGGTACACAAGTCTTCCACTAGACCCTGTGCCACTCAGAGATTTCTTTTACCAAACCACCTTTCCCATCCCAAGCCAGGATTCCTTGAATGGCTCCATTCCCTTCAATTTTGGGGGCTTTTAAATGGGCATAGAGGGGAGGGTGCTTCCTGGTTAGCCTGCCATCTGTAAAATGCAAGGGGGCAGGAGATGGATGGACCCAAAGTAAAGGCCTCCCCCAACCCCTGCCCAGTCTCCGAGAGGGCTGGGGTTTGAGTCCTCTCTCCAAAATCCTTGGGATGTAGTTTGTAAGATTGACCTGGAAATGTAGTGGTGGAACCATTTGGAGACAGAATAGAGTGACCCTTCATCTTTCTCTGCCAAAGGGGGAGCTGCCAGTTAGAAAGGGACACAAGGAAGGATCGTTGATACGAGTGGCCCCACGTGCAACGGCATTTTAGAGCTTCTCAAGCATGAGGATGAAAAGCTCCTCAGCTTCTTAGCTGTGAAGCCTCACTGTTACTCCGTGAATCTGTCACGAACTAGCCACCTGAATGACCTTGGCTAAGTCCAAAAGCTGGAGGAGTGTGTGTGTGTGTGTGTGTGTGTGTGTGCGCGCGCGCGCGCGCGTGTGTCTGTCTGTGTGTGTGTCCGTCTATGGTCCAAGCCGCGCCCAGGCACTGGGCTGCTGCCAGTCCGCCGCCGGAACGATCCTGCTTCAGACTTCAGGCCTCACAACTTTACCACGCCCCAGCTACAGCTGGCACAGCGGAGCAGGGAACACTGGGTGTCCCGGTCAAAAAGGCCTCAAAGTGCCCACCTGGTGCACTTTGCGGCCCCGCGCAGGGAAGAGTTGGGCTGCGGCCCAGGCTAGAGAGAGGGGTGGGATGGAGGACGCAGCTCTGTGATTTCACGGGAAAGCGTGGAGAAAGAGGGGGAGGAGGCTGGCCTCCCCTCGAAATTAACAAAACCTACACTTTGCAAAGTCTCCCCCATCCCCCTCCTCCGAGTTCTTCCCTGCCGCGCGCCCGCCCCTCCTCGCCGCTTCTGTTGTGACTCGGGCAGCCTATCCCGAGGGTGGGGAGCTGCTGAGGAGCCTGAGCGGAGCGGTACTCCGCAGCATCACGTGCCGGGGTGGGGGCTATAAATTCCCAGAGCCGGGGCCCCGGGCGGGGGACGTGTGGACCAGCCCTCTCCAGGGACCCCTTTGTTCGCCGCCCAGACGCCGACACCTCCCCGTCCCCAAGGGCTTGACCGCCTGCATCCGTGCCGCGCCCGGGGCAGAGCTCAGAACAGGAGAGGGGAGGAGGCGCCACCCCGGGCCGGGCCCTCCAGCCACCTATCCCTCCAGACATGTCGCGTTCCTTCTATGTCGACTCGCTCATCATCAAGGACTCCTCACGGCCCGCGCCCTCGCTGCCTGAGCCGCACCCCGGGCCAGATTTCTTCATTCCGCTGGGCATGCCGTCCCCGTTGGTGATGTCGGTGTCCGGGCCCGGCTGCCCGTCCCGCAAGAGCGGCGCGTTCTGCGTTTGCCCTCTCTGCGTCACTTCGCACCTGCACTCCTCTCGGGGGCCAGCAGGCTCTGGCAGCGGGGGCTCAGGGTCGGGGAGTGCGGGGACCGGGGCTGGCGGGGTGGCGGGGGGCGCCGGGGCCTTGCCCTTGCTCAAGAGTCAGTTCTCTTCGGGTCCTGGGGACGCGCAGTTTTGCCCGCGCGTGAGCCACGCGCACCATCACCACCACCCGCCGCAGCACCATCATCACCACCACCAGCCCCAGCAACCCGGCCCAGCTGCTGCAGCGGCGGCCGCGGCTGCAGCGGCGGCGGCGGCGGCGGCCTTGGGGCACCCGCAGCACCACGCACCTGTCTGCGCCGCCACTACCTACAACGTGGCGGACCCGCGGAGATTCCACTGCCTCACCATGGGTAGGGCGGGGTCTCTGGGTACCTGCGCGCCGCGCCTTCTTCGCTCCTGGGAACAAACTTTACGCCTCCAGTAGAGGAAGTGGGAGCCCGGCTGGCAGGGTGGGGAGGGAGGAAGTGCTTTCAGTGTAACCGTGGAATGTTCCCCAGAAGTTCCACGAACGTGAAAGTTAGCTTGCCAACCTCTCCAAGCAGCCTGGTGCGCTTCATTCCAGGTACCAGGTGCCCAAGTGTTGCGTAATATGGGGCCTTCGGGACCTCGAACTTGAGGGCTGAGGAACGGGATGTTAACTGGCTGAGATTCGGGGTGGATGTGTTTGAACTTCAGTGTAATATTCCAGTGTCGGGGCTCGCTAAAGCCTTTCAACGCTTTTGACTAAGCCCGACTGCCTCTCGGCTAGTCCTGGAGGGAGACGACCGGACAATGCAAGCCCCTATTCCTCTTTTAATCCTCTGACTTTATGTCCCGCACATCAAAAGCCTTCACTTGCTTTGGGCGTCTCTGTTCTTCCCGGCTAAGTAACGACGTGCCAGGAAATGGAAAAGGGTGAGGGATGGATACAGGTATTTTGTTGTGCTTTGCGGGTGAGTCCTTGAGAGGCGTCCTTCAAAAGAGATGACACGTGGGGTAGGAGCGCGTCGCTCGAGAATGACTTCTCTGCCCTCTCTTGGCCCGTATGCAGGGGGCTCGGACGCCAGCCAGGTACCCAATGGCAAGAGAATGAGGACGGCGTTCACCAGCACGCAGTTACTGGAGCTGGAGCGGGAATTCTCTTCCAACATGTACCTGTCTCGACTCCGGAGGATCGAAATCGCCACGTACCTGAACCTGTCGGAGAAACAGGTGAAAATCTGGTTTCAGAACCGCCGGGTAAAGCATAAGAAAGAAGGGAAGGGCACGCAGAGGAACAGTCACGCGGGCTGCAAGTGCGTCGGCAGCCAGGCGCACTACGCGCGCTCCGAGGATGAGGACTCCTTGTCACCGGCCTCTGCCAATGATGACAAGGAGATTTCCCCTTTGTGAGGGAGGGCCATCCGCCTTTCGCCACATGCTCCCAGGAACCCCCATAACGCCAACGCGGCGGGCACCCAGGGGTCAAAATCCTCGCCCATTCCGTGGTCCCATCTGGAGAAGGACCGAGCTGAGCGTTTCCAGGGTGCACAGGCCAGGCCTGACCCTTCCTGTCGTTTTCTTTACCTATTTGTGTAGGGCTCCACTCTCAGTAATAGATCTTTTTTAAAAAATGTAAATAATTAGATTCAACTCAGTCTTGTCATATAACAAAAAAGCGCGACGGTTTAACACTCTATGAGGTTTTTTTGAAAATGCATGTCATTTTCCCTTCCCTGTCTTTCAGAACCTGATAAGAATTCGGGGTTTCTTGATTATTTTCTGTTATTTTTAAATAAAAGTATTGAATTGCTAATAATTTAGAAAATTAAACTCTGTAGGTCCTTCTGAAAATTTTCCTGGGGAGAGTTTAAAATCCAAGTCGCTGAAGTCCCTTTTTATGTGAATAGTTTTATATGAAATTTATATTTATATTTATTTAAATAAATGAAACAAAATCAAGGTTTTGAATTCTTGATGTTTGTGGTCACCATCTTCCCCTATATCCCTCTCTCGAACGGACAGGAAAATGTGTCTGTGAATTTAGAGAGAAATGTTGAATAAAACTTGGTAATGTGGGTCTCTTGGTTAAGAGAGTTTTGGCTCTGTAGGATTTCTCCGTAACGGAAACCTCTGGCAAAGAGACACCTTCAGTCATGATGCCACCTATCAGTAAGTAGTACTCCCAGTTCTCAAAATAGCTAACCTCCTCACAGTTGACAGGACGAATCACTCCATTTAGAGTGACGCTGACAATTAATGACAGGCAAACCTTTTATTTAATGGAAAAGGTAAAAATTCCTCACCTAGTATTTATTTTTTGTGGCAATCTCCCCCGCCCCCTTTCTTCTTCATCTCTCAGTACTAAAAACTGAATTATGTGGAGGAATTTGAATAGTCAGAGTAGTTTAGGAAGAGCAACAATTCATTAAAGCAGATTAGAACCAAATACATGGAAACTTACAAATGGTGCTGGAAGTGACTAAGAAACGTTAACATTACTGGTTGTTCCTCTAGCTAAGAAATTAGCTGGTTTCCATCAATGCCGAGAAAACAAAAGGACAGGGACAGGGAATTTTTCTGTCTAAAGATTTATATCCTCACTTTTCCAAAGGAACTCAGAGGGACTTTTGAATGCTTTCCCTCCTGGTCTTTCTACCTTTAACCTACACTGACTCTCTTCTAGTTCCTCTCTTCCCATCACCTTGCAGAGTTAATTCCCACAAGTCTGGTCCTAGAGGAGACTGACTCTGGCTGTGTCCTCGGCAAGGAAACCTGGCTCTCTCCTCAGGGCAGCAAGGGCCTGTCGTCTAAAAGAGAAGTGAAGCTGGAAACATGGAAACTAGGAGATCTCATTTTCTGCAAGCTGAGTCTCACTAACACCCACTGGTGTTATTTCTGATTATTTTTTATAAAAATGCTACCCAAGAGGTTCAAGCCAAAGAAACTCTTTACAACACACATGCGCAGACTTCTAGGTCTGATTTACTTTAGGTCTGTAGGAGCTGAAAACTTCACCAGGTGCAGTACGGCTCTCAAACTGAGGTCGGAAAGCTAGTTTGAGAAGGAGAAAAGAAAAGAGAAATGTGGCCATGGTTTTCCCTGCCCAGAGCATTCGCATTCCTGACCCCCTCTCTTTCTCTTTCTTTCTCTCTCTTCCTCCCTCTCTTCCTCTCTCTCTCTCTCTGCTTAGGAGAAAGAAAATCCCCCTTTCAGACTCCGGGGCCTGTCATCAACTCCCATTAGGGAATGGTCGGGACAGGCAAGAGGAAGGAGAGACTCCCACGGTGTAGTACTGAATCCGGAGCTGTCCGCAGCTTTGTGCAGCGAACTGAGCCTGGTCCTACACATTGGTCACAGGCAACTGGCTCGCCTCTGTCCGAGTCTGAGAAGCTCAGCCTCTGGGTCTCTCTGTCACATGCAGAGTCTGGGGCTCCTCTCCCTGCCCGCCACTAAGGGTAGGAGGCACCGGCCTTTCCTGAAGATCCCGTCTTCTTCCTTCTCAATAAACGGGTCTTTCTGGGCCAAGTACGGAGGTGGAAGGGAGTGTCGAGGAGAAAAGAGCAGATGTTTAAAGAGAATTTCTTCTCAGGAAATAAGAAGAATAAAGAGGACTTGCTGCCGCTCTCCATACTCCTTCTCGAAGCAAAGCCTCTCTGGGCAGAGGGCATTCACCTCTGTCCCCTTCCTATCCACACCTGCCCACCCGTGGGTCGCCACATGTTCAGGGCTTGGCCCTTCTCAAGTCCATGCTGAGTCCAGACCAGAGTCTCTGCTCTGCGCAGGCTCCTCCACCCCAGCCCTGCGCGGGGCGTGCCTAGCCACCCACCTGCCACACCCGACGCTGTGCCTCGTGCCCAGCTCCACTGCTCAGCCAAGGAGCAGTGGCACCAGCCCTTCTTGCCTGATTTTGGCAAGGAGGGAGAGAGGTCTCAGCCTCTCTCCCTCCTGTTTTGGGGAAAATTCCTCAGAGAAGGGAGAACTAACAATGGATCTCCCACCAGAGGCAAAAAGATCCAAAGATACCTATCTGGACGTTTGTACATTCTCCAAAGAAAGGTTCTCCGGGGTTCAGTAGAAGGGGTCCTCCTCGTTCTAGGACATTTGGTGCCCAGAGGTCCTTTTAGTCACTTTCAGAGTGAACCATGCGGTCTCCTTGTCTACTAGGGTGGATTTTTCATTCCCCCACCCCCCAAATTAGTTAATGTTTTTGAAGTTTGAAAACCAAAATAAGGCTTTGAGAATCTGTCTGATTTTAAAGGCCTACAGTTTCACCTTAGATTAAGAACACCTATGCTAACACACAGGCACACAGACTCAGACACATGAATACTCTGCTAACCAATCTTGATATCAAACACTCTAAGTGAAGGGCCCCTGGATTTATTAAAGAGGAACGTTTAAGACGTGCGGGGTCATCCTTGACAATTTTCCTATCTTGGAAGCTCTAGATGCTAGCTTTTCACCATGTCCCCATTTGAGAAACAGAACTCCGTTCCTGCAAAACATGGCCTCTTAGGGGGACTATAGATACATGATAGAAAGAAAGAAGAGAATGAAAATGAGAATTAGAAATCAAGACCTTGCTCCACTAAAAGAAAAGTTAACAGCAGAGCCATTAGTGTGGTTGAATCCACCTTTTGAGAACAAGTCCTGAGGTAGCTTTAAACAGAGAAAGAGCTGGGGGCAGGGAATGGAGAACAGGAAGGATAACCCCCTGTCCTTGTGTCTTGCCCCTGTCCAGACATTCTAAACAAAGAGGAAGACCAGAGACCTTTCCCCTTTCCCCTTTTATCCTCCCACACAGTGACCAACACACATTCAAGGGCAGGGGCCCAACGGTGATAGTAGCAAGCGTCAAGCCTTCTTGATTGCAAATCATGCCCAGGGCAGAAGGGATCCAGCAGCCTGTACCTAGGATATTCATATGCCCAGGTGATAAGAGACACTAGTGATGGTAGAACACCCTCCCCCCTTATTCTGAAGTAGTCATCATAGCTTACTTCCTATCCCCCTCCACTCCATCCCTCTAAGGATATCCAAGGATGTTTTAGGAGAAAGAAAACTTGGGGATGTGAAGGTTTTGAGGTTTTGATTGCTGGCTTCTTCCTCCCTTTCCTCATCTGGATTCCCCATCAGTTCTGCCTTTTGTATACCTGAACAGGATTAGAAATGCAGCTTGCTTGGCCAACCTAGACTGTAGTAAGGGAATTGCCAGAAAAGTGGTTGTTCTAATTAAAAGTGGTCACACAGGGCAAGAAGGTCTGTGAGTATATACGTATGTACATGCATGCATGTGTATGTGTATGAATGTGTGTTTGTGAGACAGAGTCATGTAAAAAGAGAAGAGTTCTCCAGTGTGTGTGTATGTGTGTGTGTGTGTGTGTGTGTGTGTGTGCGTGCGTGTGCAGTTCTCACTTGCCCACTATCTTGCAGTTTCCTTTGGAGGATTTCTTTGAGAGAAGTGGGAAGGTGCTCAGAGTTGAGTTGGGGGTAAAGAGAAAGAAGCTAAACATTGAGGGGAGACTGGAAGGAGCTTTAGGTTAGATCTCAGGCCCAGTCTTAAGGCTGTGAGAGAGAGAAAGAGAACTGACACTTCCAATAAATTCCGTTTGCTAGAGGAAATTGGGTTTAAAGGAGCAATCACTACTTTAAAAGGAGAACCTCCCATCCTCTCAAACAGTCTAAAGATGCCCTAGACATGAATACAGCTCAGTGCATCAAAGCAATTATTCCTATTTTCATTATTCACAGGGAATCTTTGAATATACCTGTTAAGGTGACAGACCTCTTAAAAAGGAACATTTATCCATGCAATTAAATGGTGCACTTACTAGGCTTCTATTAACATAATTTAATATAAATCTATTTTATGAATGTGTAGGCTCACATTACTGAAAATTGAGCTTCTCTGAAAAAAAAAAAATGCCCACATCTCTTCCCTAAATTAAATGGAATAGAATCCCAAAACTTGCTATATTAAACTAACTGGAAATATTAAAAGTGGAGGAATCTTTTGTATTGTCTTATGTTAGTGGAGGTATAAAGAAAAGAGGCAGCTTCTCTCACAGAAGATGAGAAATTCCACAAGAACACACGCAGTGCTCCTACACTCAAGGCCCTGGCACTTGGAGAGGGTAACAGGCTGGAACCGAGGAGGGGCCAACAAGAACAGGAATTTAAAGAGATCTCTTAGGAACCAAGTAAAATCAGAGCTCAGATTTAAAAAAAACAAAACAACAACAACAACAACAACAACAAAAAACAACGTTGACTCATATTTGGAAGCAAGTTTCTTCAGTTTGGAAAGAAAATTCAAAGCCTGAGACCTCATAGTCCTGAAAGCTACTCCATGTGGAGGTAGATATCCTTCTCTGTTCCCACAGCTGGACTTCTTTTTCTCAAATGCACCCTCCAAAATTCCGGGCATCCCATTGTCTCTGAAAATAGTGTTTTGTGGGCCCTTCTGTTGATGTCAGTGCCTGACCTTCTGCACTGGGCATTGCTTTTCTTCAAACTGAGCCCTATGTTTTCCTGAACCCTTGTGGTAGCTTTGTTGAGACTTCCAAATCCCAAACCCAGGAAGGCCCCAGGGGCTCCTCTGAGTGAATCCCGACAGATCGGAAGTGTGTGCTGTGTGCTTAGGAAAGTAACTAGTTTCAGATTAATGAAGCAGTGACAATTTCAATCTGCTTAAAGGCGGAGGTTGGCACTGCCCAGGCCTGAGCGTGGGGAGCTCGCCAGGCTGGGCTTTATATTGTCCGCTTTTCTGAAGAGCAGACAAAGATGGATAGAGAGACATTGAAAAGCAGGGGGCGTATTTCAAACAGCCCCATAAAGAGGGCTGTCACTTTAAGACAAGAACCATAGTGCTTTGATGACTTTGTATT